CACCTCGGTTGCGCGAGATGGTCTCAAGCCGGATCGGCTGGCCGCAACCTTCCCGAGTCGAGTATGCTCGCCTCCAACCGTATCGTGCCACAGACCACCGCAACATGGAAGAGCGGCTCTACGCGGCATGAGTTCCGGACCTCATGATGATGCCGGCATTCGCCCCGCGTCGCAAGCCTACCGCCGTTAGCTTTCTAAACTCACAGGATCGCAGCACACAGCTAGCCCAGGTCCCGCGCCGGCTGACCATCCACGTCCCGAGCGTCAGGTCAAGCTCGTCTAACCGTTGTGAACCCCCGACTAACAGCGCTCAACAAAATTTCCAAACCGTCCGGCGGTCGATCCTCCTTCGGGCGGGGTTGTGGCCGGCGCGGGACTCGGGGGTACTTCACAACCGACCGGAGCCCCACACCATCGGCACTCGGGTAGACACCGGCCGGTTCCGCCTTCTGCCGCCGCGCGGCGCCACCTGCGTGCTGCTGCCCCGGCGCCGGCGGAAGCAGGAGACCGCGTTGAAGAAACAGTGCCAGTTGAGGAGCTCCCTGTCTCCGCCATTGGTGTACCGGAACCGCTGTCAAGCAGAGGGTCAGGCTTCAGATCCGGAGGCTCATGTAGGCTCAGCTGTGCAATGCTACCTAACGCACCGCCAAAAATATCCTTGTCTGGAAAGCCAACGGTAGAGCGGTTTCTCACTGCTTAAAGAGTGTTTTAGATTTGAAGATATTGAAGCAAGCATCAGATATGATGAAACAAGCTCACCTTTAACTATCGGTATGCTTTTAACTAGGGCAGACTGCTTAAGGCAACACAGTTTGTCTGTATGGTAAACATGCTCCTCGATGTGCCATTTTTTATGACGTCATCGTACCTTGCACAATGTTGGTCGAGAGCCAATTAGCGGCCTTTTTACCTGGAAATCGTGTTCACGAACGCCAGATATGGACGACTCGACTATCATGCTCATTATGGAATGCCAGGATTTGAACGACCTTATTATGACGTCATGAGTGCCAAGATGCCTTTGAAATATTCTCCTACGATTGTTTTCGCACATCTTCACAGTCTTCTAGATCAGGAACCAAAGTGTTTCAGGTTCCTGGACACAGCCGCATGCTGCATCAAAGGTCTTCAACATGGCTCTTTCGGTTCAAACCCAATACAAATGTGGAACACTCCCTTGAACAAATTTAAAACGACTCGTTAAGTAATAATAGCTATCTGTGACGTTCACGCGCGCTAGCCACTTCAACTGAGCATATTGCGCAATTTTAGCGTTAAAGCCCCCGCGGGGATGCGTTAGTAGCAACCAAGTCAACACCAAACTTTACGCGTCGTTCTATCCCCAGATGGGCTATTCCAGACTTTCTGACATTTCTGTCATCATAGCTTGTACAAAAGCTTTCAGGGAATGTGGAAGCGTCTCGGTTCGAATGCAGGCTGGTCCCATGATATGAAAGTGTTCAGCCTTTATCCTACAGTCCGGCAGTATTTTAAGCATGGCATCGGAAACGTGTGTTTTTTCCCTTCGTGCCTGGAAATGCGCAGCAAACATTTGAATGTTTGCACGAGGACCTACAGTTCCTCTTCTTCAGAGGTTTAATGGGTGAAGTCGTTTATCAAATTGTTTGCTCGTTTCACAGCACCCTTGCAAGTGACCGGTCGGTGCAGCTCTCGCTACACTCGAGACCAACGTGGATGCGCTCACGTGATCTGACGACCACCGGCCTGGCATTGACAACAAAAGCCTGAAGCTCCTTGTTATACGCGATTGAGAGTGTTCTCTGAGTATTGATGCAGCTCCTAATATAATGCGGACCGGTTGATCTCAGGGTAAGAACTGGCCAAGCCGACATTCTCATCACTACTGTTGACTGTTACAAAATGACGGTGGTGGCTGGGAGTGCTACGTGTGTTTTATGGATTTGAAACTTGTCTGACTTAATCTAGTGTTTTATTAACATCAGAGTCTGGTCACATTCAAAATGGCATGTGTTCTTGTGGTGGACTTTACCCCTGATTTGTGTATCGCCAAGGAGGCAAGATATCATCTGCTGCAAGTCGCTGTTGCAAATTTGTAACATCGATTTCACTGGAGCAGTGGATTGAGCTATAAGCAGCGGGCTATTGTGCGAGGAAAGTTTGCTTTCATTAGATAATTCTCGTGGTCTGGTTTCAACGACCATTTCCACAACAAACGAAGAACAGTCGACGAGTTAGATAGTTCACCGCTGGATGCGCCCAGGCCTGAGGCTGAGCGTATCACAGAAAAAAACCTCAAGTTTTGGCCAGAAAGCAGTACCACCGTGGAAACCAATTTGGCAGTCCGTGCCTCAGTGTCAGTCCAAGTAGTAGTTAGAACAATATAGGCAACGAAATGAGAACCAACACTTGCCTCCCAGATGGGGTGCGACCCTCATCCCCTAGATCGGGAGCAAGCCTCACCTCCTGGTTGGGTTGTGGGTCTCACCTCCTAGTTGCAGTGCCTGCCTCACCTCCTAGGTGGGGAGCGTACCTCACCTCCTGGGTGGGATGTGAGCATCGCCTAATGGGCGGAGTGCGAGCCTCACCTCCTGGTGGGATGTCGAAAGTGTGACGGAGGGTGGCGCACCACCGTGCCTCGCTGCGTCACCAGGCATTGACGCCGTGCGCCAGCCGGTGCAGTGTCAGGTCAGCCCGCTTCTGCAATTGGCGCACAGGGTTGGTCAGCTAGGGCACGGGTCTGGTCAGCTGGCGTACAGGTCTGGTCAGCTGGGGCATGGGTCTGATCAGCCGGAGCATGGGTCTGGTCAGCTGGTGCACGGGTCTGGTCAGCTGGTGTGAGAGCCTGGTTTAGTGAGCCGGCACACAGGACAGGTCTGGTCTGGTGCGCTAGAACAGGCCTGGTCTGGTGCGCTGGCCTAGGCCGGGGTGTCACCGCTTTCTTTATTTTTCGTGATGAACTGGAGTTTATCCTTGATACTGAATGGAAAGAATCGACTGTAAAATGGTTTTCCCGAAAATTTGTGACCTTATTGCACCACTGCAATGGCGTACGGATCTGCTTTGCTTTAAGGGGAATTATTGATGTACTTAAAAGTATATCAATATATTGTGGAATGTACTTTT